CGTATACATCATATTCCACACTCGCCACAACCTTCCCTGCGTATTACTGTTTTATTTCTCCTTCGGACGGATGCCGTTTCGGTTCTTTCTGCTGCTACGTTGTTTTCCCTAACAATTTCTCCTCGGGGACCCTCAATGCTGTGAATGTGTTGCTGCGTCTCGAGTTCCCGTCGACGGGAACGTCTGTTCATGTTATTCGGTGGTTACGGGCCGACTGCAGCTGGTATTATCGAACTGAAAGTCGAACGAGGTCTAACTGAACTTTGTTTGTGGTTACAATTTTGCCACTTAACTCCTTTTTTGCCCCTTCAAGTTTAAATCTTATGTTGCATCCACAATGGTTTTAATAGCATTTTCCACATTTCGGTATGTTCTTGAAGTAGGATGGTTGTAGGCTGGGTCATACATAAACCACATGAACTATCAAAGGAGGGCAGCTTCGATGATGACGCACGAAAGCTGTGTAGCCTCCTACTCGACAGCAAATATCGCGAAACTTCAAGTGGCGCTGGCTTCAACTAACTTTTCAGTTTTCACGGACAAAAACCTATCTTTCTGGTGTGAACACCTTACTGGATATATCAATTTATGCCGTTCTGTTGAAAATATCTTCCTACGCATGCTCAGACTTGCATCGCCGCTACTGCATCATTTTAGAAAAACGGTCCTCGAATTTCAAAATGTCTGTCCTCATGTCAGACGACTCGCCGACCATGAAATTCGAGATCATGCCATTTGAACCGCTTGATGATGATGATGATGATGATGATGATGATGATGATGATGATGATGATGATGATGATGATGATGATGATGATGATGATGATGATGATGATGATGATGATGATGATGATGATGATGATGATGATGATGATGATGATGATGATGATGATGATGATGATGATGATGATGATGATGATGATGATGATGATGATGATGATGATGATGATGATGATGATGATGATGATGATGATGATGATGATGATGATGATGATGATGATGATGATGATGATGATGATGATGATGATGATGATGATGATGATGATGATGATGATGATGATGATGATGATGATGATGATGATGATGATGATGATGATGATGATGATGATGATGATGATGATGATGATGATGATGATGATGATGATGATGATGATGATGATGATGATGATGATGATGATGATGATGATGATGATGATGATGATGATGATGATGATGATGATGATGATGATGATGATGATGATGATGATGATGATGATGATGATGATGATGATGATGATGATGATGATGATGATGATGATGATGATGATGATGATGATGATGATGATGATGATGATGATGATGATGATGATGATGATGATGATGATGATGATGATGATGATGATGATGATGATGATGATGATGATGATGATGATGATGATGATGATGATGATGATGATGATGATGATGATGATGATGATGATGATGATGATGATGATGATGATGATGATGATGATGATGATGATGATGATGATGATGATGATGATGATGATGATGATGATGATGATGATGATGATGATGATGATGATGATGATGATGATGATGATGATGATGATGATGATGATGATGATGATGATGATGATGATGATGATGATGATGATGATGATGATGATGATGATGATGATGATGATGATGATGATGATGATGATGATGATGATGATGATGATGATGATGATGATGATGATGATGATGATGATGATGATGATGATGATGATGATGATGATGATGATGATGATGATGATGATGATGATGATGATGATGATGATGATGATGATGATGATGATGATGATGATGATGATGATGATGATGATGATGATGATGATGATGATGATGATGATGATGATGATGATGATGATGATGAACCGCATATGTACTGAAACTGTTCAGTGATGTTTGGAACTATCTTCATAGATATTGAAACTGTGTTACTTTAGAGACTTATAAAGCAGCTATGTGCCAAATGTTCCCTCAAACGACTTGCTAACGGAGATGCGGATAAGCTCCATGCTGAATTTTGTTCTGCCCACGGAGTGTATGTGCTCTGCCCTCCATCAACACATTAACACAGATCCCCCAGCCACCCTTGCTCACACCAATGTTTACTGGGAACTCAAAATTTGTAGATAACTATAGCTGCTGAACCTGATGCTATATCACAACTCTTTCTAAAGGAGTGTACAGGTTATCTCGAAGTACCCTTAACCGCTCTGCTCAACCGGTGTCTTATGAGTGACAATCCTTGACATTTGTAGATCCGTAAGGATTAACGCTTGTGTCTGTCCTAAAATTATCATCCGATTGCACATACATCGGGGATGTTGAATGCCTTCGCGAAACTCCTTGACCCTCAGATTTTCACACCTGCCCATGTAGGCAGTGTATACCAGTTTGTCTACAAACTTAACCACTCCACGCTAGATGTTTTTCCATCTTGCATATCCTATAGCATCTACACTGAATGGCTCCCGTTTCTTTACTATGCAAGTGCTTTATGAAGCACTAACGGTTTAACCCTACCCAATGATTATAGGTAATGCAGTTAGCGGAGTCCGGTTGCTTATTCCGTGGCTGTGTTGTCAGGACTATTTCTCAATGGATTTAAAGATACAATGAAATAACTTTGTGAAGCTTTCGACATCACTCTGTTTCATTTCTAATTCTGCACTTTTTGATCTTTGCTGTCTTTCCGAAGATTACGGAATTTTATTTTCAAACTCTGCCATTTTTCAAAATGCTGAAAAAGTTACCTTTTGGTTCCTCCACAAGTGTTGGACACAACAAAATTCTCTTACGTACTTTGATTGTTGTGCGAGTTTTTGTCTCTTGTGCTGGATTGACTTCGATTTCCATCGCCTTTTGCAGCGATTATCGCCGTTGAAGGTAGTTAGAGAAACTTTTTACATCTACTGAGGCAAATAGCGGTCAAAAATATTAGGGTGTGAGCAACTCTAGATACATGGTCACGCAAACTAGCCTACATTCGATCCGACGTTCGACCCAGTCTTTCTGCTTTTCCTCTGACAGTTAATTACCTTGGCATGTTGATCTTTCCGGAGGCATAACATCAGCTGGGGTTAATGGTCCACTGACTTTATGTTCTGCAAGCTCTAGAGACCCAAATGTTCTTCCATACATTAATCGGATGTCTGGTATTTACATGTGTTTCTGCTTACATTCTGTTAATCTCACTCTCGCTCGCGCAAATCTCATTTTTGCTTTTCCTACGCCTTGTTGTACGATTAATGCAGCAGTTGTACTTTTGTTACTTTGGTCCTGATGAGACCTCGAAGTTCAATGGATCCCCTTTTCGATTTACCCATCTATCGATCACCGACACGTCCCAGCCGCTTTACCATAGCGCGTCTACCAAATTTGGTGGAAAATAATGGCTGAAACTCAATGAAGTTTGCACGCTAAAGGTCACTTACTCTACTATGATGTAAACTGTCCCCGGCGAGATTGCTTTTCCTTTACAGAGGTTGTGAGAGTCTTTGAAATTCATCCCTCTGAAATCATCGGTCGGAGACCTTGTGCCCAACTCTTGGTAGTTTCTTGCACAATGACATAATTGATCTCGAATATGCCGTATAGGATTGCGACTGTCGTCTCATCACCAATGCCCCCTAGATCATTCCATTGTAATGCGTGATTTGTGCTAGGATAAAATGCGGAACATTTAGATTCAGTGAATATAGGGCTTCCCTCGTTAATCTGCAGTACACTGTTTTCATCACGCCCGTATTTGAAAACGTCATTCGCTTCGGCGTTCGGCCTTGATAACTTAGCGATAAGGCCAATTACCAGAATCAAGCTTTCCATTTAGTGTGAAAGAATGTGTCAAAATAATCCACCTCGAGATTCCGTAATCCGGACAACCTTCGTGTGGCATTTTTGCACGATCGTCACGGTAAGCGCTAGAGGTACCTTACTAGCTTTTCGTTTTTTGAGATATTACAGATCGCACTTCGGCTCTGATGCAATTTCAACAACCTGCACTTGTCTATCGGGAAAGTGAATATGCGCCTTTTTCATGTAACTTGTTGCAATGGGAACAGGAGTTGAGCCTCCTTTTGAACTCGATATGGTTTCTATGCCGTTTGTATCATCACAGCTTTGTTCGTCTCCTTAATACGCATACATGTATATAGTCATTTACCGTTGTGCCAAGCGTTGCCCACCGTGACCCGGTAGCCAAAGGGGTAGAGGTTTCGGCTACTATTCCAATGGTCGCGTGTTCGAGGCCTGCTATCTCCACCTGATGAGATGAAATGACATCGAAACGCGTCGTGGTTGTGCAGTGTTTTCAGGCGGGCTGCACCTAATTTCTATATGTATATATTGTTTTGTTTAACATATTTTCCGTTTAAAATTTTCCCGAACAATAGGATCATTTCATTTACTTGGGATGAATAATAGTGTTTATGATGAGGAAATCGTCTGCAAGCACTCGTCCACCATTGCACAGCATCAGACTAAACGATGCATTCGAATGTTCTCACTTTACGCCATATGGCTAGCCGGCCTGTAGCCGAAGCGTTCACACTATTGCCTCGCAATCTGGAGGTCGTGGGTTCGAGCTTTCGTAGGGTGCCGGGCAATCCTCGCAGTATCTTTGGCTCACTCGCGACGCTGGTGATTGCGTGACATCAAAGCGTCGTTACTACGTACCGGCGCACTGCTGATGTCTTTCTTTCTTTTTGAGCACTCTATCTCCATTATATGCTAGACTTGTGCCTATCTGCTGTTGCAGATTCATGTCTAAGTAGTTTGCGTGTGTGCCTTACAATCTTTACATCCCCGGGTTTGAACCCTGCACGAGTCTAGACGCCCCCATTGCATTCCAGCTCACTTACAACCGCCATCATTTGCATGGCACTGATGCTACTTCTTGTCGCCCAACTGTCGATGACATTGCGTAATCTCCGCATGGATTTATTCTCCCTTTGTTTTGCCATTTGAGCTAGAGTCAGAAACTCCCATCGATCTCAATGACGCACTCAATGTGGACAGTCTGCGCGGTCTGTTGGAGAAACCGGAGATTCAAGCACGTCTGCTACCGCACCTTCCTGACATTGGTGACTCCTCAGACCATTTATCAAACTTGACAACAAATATCCGGTCGTCACAATTCAAATCAATGTTGAAAGTAAGTCAGTTTTTTCTCCCAATCACTTGTAATCGCTATTTTAATGATATCCACAACTAGTCAACAACAAACAAAAGCATTACAACCGCTATTTAAACTGATGTTTCTTTACCGTGAAACCACTATAACCGACAGAATGAAGAATAATAACAGGCGAGAATGGGGACCTACGGTGAAACTTTAATGCTTTCAACAAACATTCAGTCAAAGCACCCACACCTTGTTAACATGCCATCATAAACAGCTGGCTCCCGTGCAAAGGCGGCATCGGCAAGACAGCTCCCTTGCGGCTTTCACTGCCCCTCGTCTTAATCTCATTACCCCGCAGATAACTCAGCACCAAACACGCTTTAAACTGGTAATCCGACTAGGAGACAGCAGCAGTCGCGCCACTGGTGCCGACTGCGAGCCGTGTCCTGTAAAATCACAAGTCAAGCACATGGCTGGTCACGGGGACTCCCGTCCGGAAGGCGAGACGGACCGACGGCACCGAGTTGAGTCGTCAGTGATTTTATTTCCCGCTGCCAAGTCAACTTTTGTCCACCTCGAGCCTTGCACCAACCTACATCTGGAAAACAAAACAAGGCCCTCGTCGGTAAGCGGTGACCAAACATACTTGCCCAAGCCAACGCAACTTATTTAGTCCTATCTGTTATTCTAAGGAACTAGCTCAAATTAGGTAAGCCTCACTACTTTTGAACCGGACATCCGTCACTGTGGCCTTGTATACACAGCCTTACAAATCGAGGAAAACTCTTTTCTCACTCCCCAGGTGTTACAAGTACACTTCTAGTGTGATATGATACCTGTTGTCACATCAAGTTTTTCACCCCTAGGCTCTTCCTACCATTTGAGGGTTGTTGGACTTTTAAAAACTCCACTTTACGCATGTTTCCCAACTGCATTTTCCAGTGTTCGCAGTGACTGCATAGTGCTTACTTGGAGTCATTAATGACACAACGCAAGCCATTTATGATTCGCCGGCAGGTGTGTGCATTCTCCATGCCTCAACTGCTGTTGCTCATTAACTCGAAACCAGTGCCACCAACTGTTACCAACTTACCTTCGGCCGGTGGCCGAGTAGTCTGCACGCCTTGTTTGCGGCCCTAAGGTCACCGATTCAAATCCGCGCAGGGGCGGACGTCCTCGCAGTACACTCAGCCCGAGCTCGACTGATGGTGGTCGCGCGGCAGCGGAGCGCCGTTATGGCGCCCAGCTGACATATTGTTTTTACCAACTTACTCCTCATCTACTGCTAAAATGGTTTCGGCGGTACGCTATTCCGACGTTTTGCTACCGCACCACCACCATCAACCGCTCGTGAGCTAAGAATACTGTGAGGGTCACCCGGTCCCTACGCAGGCTCGAATCTGCGCCCTCAGATTACAACACAGCCTTGTGATCTTTAAAGTTACGTGCCGGCTCATTCAATGGAAAGATATTAGGGGATTTGCTTCTTCCAATCCTTCTGCTGCGATTAACATCATTTCCTTGGTCTACTTTATTATTTGAATATACTGACACTGTTGTCTGCAGGTTACGCAGCTTTATCTGTTGAAAGTGTGTGTGGTGTTTTGTTGCCTGTGGTTTATACTGATAGGCGGTAAATCCATCAGGAAGCTGTCTCAGTCGTCATCTCAACCTGCTATTTGTGACTGCGCGGTTGATAAAGAGTAAATGCCTTCTAAATATGTTCGCGGCACTTATCCCACACGTTAGACTCCTTTTTCGAGTCTTAATACTACTCTCATCTCATCATTTATAGTTGTATGCCAGCGAAGCACCAGTACTGGTGATGTACTGTAGTTGATGATCATTCTTGTTGCTGCTAGTCGGTCGCGTTTAAGTTTCCACTTCTGTGTGAGGCATCCACAACACATGAGTGCGTATTCCCATGCGCGACTGGTGATGCTCACGTGTCAGCGGAGCGTCGGTGCAGTGTGTCGGCGTTCGGTTGATGCCTTACTTGCATTCAAAGTCAACCAAGTTTTCCTATCCATCAGAATTTCATCTTCGATTCATTGAGACACGACACACTGATGGCGCTACATAATAACTCAGTTAGTCAACAGCAGTACATCAGCCATTTGAACTGATGCTTCGCTGCCATACAACCATGAGGACCTATGAAATAAAGTATTAGAAGAGGGAGAGAAGAGGGACTTACCTGAACACCTTAATGACTTAAGCAAACATTTAGCATCAAGGCGCCTACACCTTGTGTAGACAACATACCGTCACAAACAGCTGGCTATCGTGTAAAGATAAGGCGGCATCGGCGAGACAGCTTCCTTGCGGCTTTCACTACCACGCGTCATAATCAGCCATTATCCCGCAGATAACTCAGCACCAAACACACTTTAATCAGGCAATCCGATCGAGAGACGGCAGCAGACGCGCCACTGGTGTGTACTGCGAGCCATGTCCTGTAAAGTCTCGAGCCAAGCACAAGGCGAGACAGACCAACGGCACCCAGTTTGGTCGTCAGTGACTTCATTTCACGCTGCCAAGTCAACTTCTGTCCATCGCGAGCCTCGCGCCACTCTACACCTGGCAGACTAAACAAGGCCCTCCTAGGTAAGCGGTGACCAGGCATGCGTAGCACGTGCCCGAGCCAACGCAACTTATTCAGTGATATCTGTTGTTTTAGGGAGGTAGCATGTTTATCACTATCTAATACTCGCCTACGCACATCATCGTTGCGGACACGCTGGTGCCATCCGACTCCAGCAATGCTTCGCAGACAACGATGATCAAAGACTTGAAGGCGCCTCAGATCGAAGGGGCCAAGTCTCACTGTGGCCTTGTATACACGGCCTTTCAGACGAAGGGAAACTCCCTTCTGCCGCCATAGATGCCGCAGGTTCAAGGAGGTAGCTCTGGCCTTCGCAATGCGTGAGCTGACGTCAGTTTCTATGCGCCCATCATTGCTGATGCAGCTGCCAAGATAAGTGAATTGATCAACCACCTCGAGTTCCTCGTTAGCAAGCGCCAAGGGGTCATCAAGTAGCTGGTGGTCCTGCAGCAACACTTTGCACTTTGAAGGTGCGAAGTGCATACCAAATAATGGGACCACTGGACAGGCTATCCAGGGTTGATTGGGCCGCCACAACATCCTCGAAAAGCAAGAAGATGTCGTCCGCATAATCTAGATCAACTAACCTTTCACCAGGCAGCACTTCAACGCCTACATCGTGAGATTCCGCAAGGGAACACTCCATGATAGAATCCACGACGGAATCGAACGAAAATGGGGAAATCGGACAACCCTGCCGAACGCCACTTGTGGTCGGAAAGCTATCCGATAGGCCACCGTAGACCCTGACGCGGCCTCTAGTGTTCGAGTATAGAGCACGAAGGATGTTCACATGTTTCGTGAGAACACCCTTCCGCGCAAGTATTTCGAACAGAATCGATCGATTGACTGAATCGAACGCATTCTTGAAAATGAGGAACACAGCTATTGTCGGTCTGCGGTGTGCGTGGCGCTGCTCTAGCACTTGTCGCAAAGTAAATATATGGTCTATACAGCCACGTCCTGGGCGAAAACTGGCCTGCTCTTCCCTACTCCGAGCTTCCCCTTCTCGCAGTGAGGCGATGAACGAGAATCGAGGCCATGGCATGGCAGGTGCCTGCATTGCAGTGGAGGATGGGTCGGGCTATATCGCAGTTAGTTAACAATTCGTGATGGTCGGCTACCGTCCTCCATGGAGCAGTTGCATAAGCTGCGGGCTAGTTGGCACAAGCCGCTATCAATCATGGGTTCCATCCTCCGTAGAGGACCGAAGGATGCGCACCACTGACGAGCCCCAATAGGGAGAAGCGGCCGTCTGGTGCTTTTACGGATAGGTGGTTGACTTTTCTGAATTGTCGGCTGACTGCGACGAACAAAAATACTCACCAAAATTATTCTACCCATAAGTAACCAATAATTTTGTCACCACTGTTGTTAGGCTAATACCCATGTGGTTAGAACAGTCTGTGCGACTGCCCTTCTTATATATTGCCACCATAATCGATTCGCTCCAATTAGCCGGGACGCTCTCTTCTTTCCAGATACATTCGAATAAGGAGGTCAGTGCTTTGCAGAGAACCTCACCTCCATCCTTAAATAGTGCAGGTGGGAGGGAATCCGAGGCAGCGGCACGAAAACGATTGAGGGCTGTAATCGCGTTTCGGACCTCGGTCTCCGACGGAGGCTCCAAACTAACCGTCCATGGCTCATCCTGCATCACCTGAGTAGGAAGAGGTCCGGGAGCAGGAGGCCAGTTGAACTGATCTTGTAACTGTTCCGCCCAACGAGCCATACGGCGCCCCTTATTTTGTATTAGCGCACCCGCGCTGTCTCTGATTGTCTCACTGACGCCTGTTTTTCTGGGACCAGTGGTGCGGATTAGCTGGAAGAGCTTGCGGTAATTGCCTACTGCTCCTGCCTCCTCCACAAACCAACTACTACTCAATAACGCTGCAAACTTCAAACTATCATTGAAGTGTCCAACAACTCTATCAATGAAGGATGGGTGATAGTCGGTTGACCAGTCTATGGGGGTGACCCAGTTGTTTAGCCTCTAACAATTAACAAATTTAGGCGACATGACCATCAAAGTGTCCAATAACTCAACTTATTACATAGATGGGTTACAATGGCCATCGGACTGCTCCACCTAAAATGAAGAATCATGCAAACCTACTCTAAAGTCTTGGCTTCTTTGGACACGCGACCCAGCCCAACATTAACCGTGTAGAGTGTCTACACTTAAAAGCCCCTTAGCACTGTCGCTTTGGTCACCCGGCCCTTAGACCTATACTAACTTTTTGACCTTTCAGTTCCACCTTTTGCTTTCTTCTTTTTGGTTCTATTTTTCCTGCGAATAATCCAATCCATCATCACATCGTAATCATCGAATCAAATTTTAACAGTTATCCAATTTTTGTAGTCGAATTATTGTTACGTACTCCACTGCACCCTCTCATGTCCTGCTCATCTTTTCTTTTTGCAGTCGTTTTCAGTTGCCTTTCAATCGGGTGAACTTTCCTCCGTTCTCGCCCAATTCCACCTCGGTGCCAAAGCGGATGAGGCAGCTCGTCGTGGAGGTGAGCGCAAGCACTGTTGATTTTTTTCCCTTTCACCCCACGGTTCACGTATCCGCCTTCACCACGGAGGCATATGCGGATTTTTCTATGGGGTTTTAATTCATGTTGGGTCTTATAGATGATCCGATTGAACCCTGAACACAGTGGTGTTGTGGGACCACTTTTCTCTACACAACGCTATCAAGATGCGACTGAAAACGTTCATATAAAAACTGATCTCTCGATACCCCAATCATTTCTCAGGTTCTCACGTGATTTCATAAAAATTGTCTGTCTCAGTACCACATCATTGTCATTGAGTCATTGTTCTCTGAATTTCATAGTTGTGAAACGTAAATGCAATAAGCTTTTAAATTACTGCATATATATAGGCCTCCACAACATGTTTTGGCAGACTTTCCCTAACATTGGCTACTCATCCTTCGAATGCGGGACTCGCTACATTTGATACACCATTAGCGTGCACTGGTATCCGCTTGGGCTGCAGGGTTTTCACAGCGAGAGCAGCGACTTCAGAATTGAGAGGTCATCTAACTTTAAACTACGGTAGATCATGATAAAGTGTGTTTAAGTCTACACATGCGGAAGTAACGCTAGCCTGCGAACGCAATAAAGACTCTTAGCCGGACTACGCAAAAACAACAGAACACGTCTAGCTGACGGCTTGCAAGTGTGTATTCTGGCGAGAACGGGTACAGAGCATCGACCAAGTAAATGAAACCAACCACTCTTGAGTGCGTAATCTATTGACAGACAGGCGCACACTTCCAATGCTGGTGTGAACGCTGATTAGAGATGCTAACCCATACGCCACAAGGTTATGGGACAGCAGTACTCCGGTACGCAGTGCCGACCCTTCGCTGCTACCAGACGCGCGTGGGCTAAGGATGTTGCGATGGTCGCCCGGTCCCCTACCCAGACTTGAACTCTCGACCTCCATATTACAAGGCAGGCTTGTGATCCTTAAGGCCACGGTCCGGACAGGGTGCACAGTCCAGGTGTCTCGTGCCCGTTTTCGTACGATGAATCCCGTAAACTGGAGGTAAGCTTGTGCTCGTTCGCTCTTCTGCGCTTTGCCTCACATCGTATTGACGAAACCATGGTTATCAGACGTGCACAAGGCGCTCGTTGTGCTGTAGCCCCTTCTATTATGGAGATAGTTTTTATTCTGATCGCTGTTCATTCCTATTGGCCATCTCCAGTGCTCGACGTTGCTGTATTTGACGTGGGGTCACCATGTTCCACATTCCCATCGAGCGTAGTCGGATCCACCGTCTTACAGGGGGTGTTAGGATTATGTTCAACTATACCGAGGCATACACCCAACTGTCCACCTCTGGCTTCAGCTCCGCTTCGGCACAGAAACATTACTTGTCCCGTCGACGCCACATCACCTGACTCTTCTCTGCGCCGCTTATAGAGCAGCATATGATCTATCGCACAGGCAACCGTATGCTTCGTGACTGAAACATACATCTTGATTTGGCTCTCCTGACAATTGTAAATCAAACCAAGTTGCTGTTGCTAACCGTCGTCTTTGGAGTTGAAAAGTCTATGTCTCTACCCTTTCAGTTCAGTTGGACAACTATGATCCGCGTACCGAATTACGGTGGATCCAGTTGCCACGGCTCACTTTACTAGAACAGCAATAGATGACACTGATGAGAATCTTTCGTCAAACAAATGCCTGATGCTCTGGTTACGCAGAGGATAATCAACAGTGCGCTATCTGCTGCATCGAGCAGGGTTGATAGGGGTTTGGATGCTACTGCTCAATCCTTCCCGTCTTTTATTCCGTCTTACGTTTTTCTCCCTTATGCTCCCATTCCAGCTTCAACTTTTTTCCCCCCAGTTTTCAACTCCCGAACATTCTGTCTCGCTCCTCCCTAACATGTTTTTCTTAGGTGTTTATTTCTAAGTTTCGAATCACATGTAAACCCGTAGCGTCAATCCTGTCCTGTCGACAAGCCTAGGTCCAACCAAGCGGTCTATCCCAGTTCATCGGCTTCCATTTGGAGCCCTCGATCCTCCTTCAGATTGATATGCCTCAATATACGCACATTGCTACAGACCGGTCAACAAGCAACACTTGCCCGAACATTAGAGACCCTGTCATCGATATCTGCTGCTTATCGGAGACCCACTTGCAAGTCTCGGGCTCTGGTCTCACTTTGCGATCCCCTTCAGTTGACACCAGCAGTATGTTCTCATTGCGCCTATCCGGTGACGAGGCAGCTTCGAGCACCGGCCAAGCGGGTGTTGTCATTGCCCTGAGTCCCCGGGCTGGAGCTGCTCGGGTTGATTGGATCCCAGTCAGTAGCCGGATGTGTGCGGTCCGATTGGCTGGGTCGTTCAAAACTTCGAAGTCGCGCGGGACTAATAAGTGTCTTCATCATCGCTGCCTACGCGCCCACAAACTGTAGCGATGATTCGGTAAAAGACGACTTCTACCGCCAACTGACCCAGCTCCTTCGCCACAGAGGAAGCACGGACACTGTGGTGCTGGCCCGGGATCTGAACGCTCAAGTCGGAAAGTTGTCCACTGATGAAATGCATCTGGGCGGTCAGCATGTTGTAGGCTCCCGTAATGATAACGGTGAGCGGTTACTTCATTTGTGTGAAGATGCTCGCGTATTTCTTCCGAGCACTAACTTCCGACACAGCACCTTCTGGAGAGTGACTTGGCGCCCACCAGCCTTGAACCAGCTAGGATGCAAACCGATCGCATTGCGATAAGTTACCGCTGGAGAGGCTGCATCCAGAACTGTCGTTCGATTTGCAGCACATATGTGGACACCAACCCTGCACTTGTATGTACTGCCATGCGGATGCGTTTTGGCGGACGCCCCCGACGACGCTGTGAGCCTATTGACACAGCCAACTGACGAAGCCAGCTGTTTTGAATGCCTATCAAAGTACGCTGACATGCGAGTTGAGTAAGCGCTCACGGGAGACAATTGAAGGTAACTTGTCGCATGTTCACTAGACCTCATGTGGTATGTCTACTAGCCAACATGGATATTGGGTCTCTTCGCAGTCTCTGGAACTTATAGATGCTCGCCGACATATTCCGGCTGGAAGCGAACACAGTGAAACTCGCAAAGAGCTCCGGGCAAGACTCCGTGCTAGCTTGAAGGGTGACCGCGAATCCTAGTGGTCTCTTTTTGCAGCAGGGATGGAAATGTCCGCTGCTCTTGGTAACCATCGTAGTTATTCCGGCTGATACGGGAAACGGGCAGCAGGAGACCTGGTGTTAGTGAAACAATTTGTGACGAGAGTGCACAGCCTATCCACAACTTGTCAAAACGTTTGGAGCGTTGAGCTGGGCATTTTGAAAAGCAATTTAATCGGCCGGAGTTGTTCGATTCCTCACCGGCTGGTGTTCGTCCTGCTGCTGTCCCTTGGATTCGTCCTCTCGCTCCGAAGTCAACCGTGCGGTCGGACTGTTGAAGTTGAACAAAGCCGCGGGACCAGAGGATCTTCATCCAGTCCTTTTCGAATTCTGGGTCCCTGCTCCAGTTGATGATTTACACGAATTACTAGTGAAAGTGCGGGCGTAGAAAACTGTCCCAATCGACTGGAGCCTCTCCGTTATTGTTCCCCTCTTCAAAGGAGACTCGCGCTCGGAATGCGGAAGCCATAGAGGCATCAGGGTGATACGCATCGCCTTCAAATTACTTGCGTCTGTTATCCCTCACAGTCTGACTGGCGCTCGCGGAAGCGAAATTCGTGAGATGCAAACCGAGTTTCATCGGGGTCATGGCTGCATCGACCACATCTTTACTTTACGTCAATTGTTGAATTATTGTTACACATATTAGCTGCCCACCGTAGTCTCGTTCCTGGACGTCACAGGTGCCTTCGATTCGGTTGATCGATGTGCCCTTTGGGACTGTCTACTCAGGAAAGGTACCTGAGAAATATGTAAATATTATCCCAGCATTATGCGCGCGTAGCACGGGCAGAGTGAGAGGTTACGGCAAGCTGTCGCCGCCCTTCTATATCTCCAGCGGTGTGAGACAAGGACGCCCGTTGTCACCTTTCCTCTTCAACTTCGCTATTGACGAAGTCATGGAGATTGCATTTACAGGACACGACTTAGAAGGTGTGGATCTGCTCCCAGAAGAACTACTTCTTGACTTAGAGTATGCTGACGACATTGCCTTAATCTGTGACAGCTCCCAGACGTGCCAAGCAGTGTTGGACCGATTAGCACTGGCTGTCAGCCGCTTCAGGCTTTGCTTCGCACTTTCGAAGTGCAAAGCGTTCCTCCAAGATTGGTAGTGATCGCTTTCTGCGCTGACCCTTGGGGGGGATCAAGTAAAGTCGTTCGGAAATTCAGCTACCTGGGAAGTTGTATCAGCGCCCTTGGGATCGAAGACGAGATCACGAACCGTATAGCAAAAGCTCGAAGCGCTTTTGCTAGTCTTCGCCACCTATGGCGGCGGCGCGACATCACTCTTGCCCTGAAGGGTAGAGTGTACAACGCAGCAATATCTTCGACCCTACTATACGGTTGCGACACCTGACCCCTTAGCTGAGCAGACATGAAGAGGCTAGTTACGTTCAACCATCGGTGCCTTCGCAGTTTGGTCACATCTGGTAGGAAGACCGTGTGTACAATTAGCGTGTTCGACGCTTTGTTTATGTCGCACGAAAAGGAACTTGACCGCTCAACACCGTTGTTTCGCTCACCATGCTCCGATGGCTCGGCCACTTGCTGCGCATGCCAGTCCACCGACTCCCGCGACGTGCGTTGTTTGTGCGCCGGGGTGTGATTGGAAGAAGAGGCGGGATGGCCAAGCAATGACTTGGTCGAGAGGAATGAAGGCCCTCACTTCGGAGCTGACCTCGGTTAGAGCTTCACGGCTCCATGGTTTGGGACCAATAGCCGTTGAACACGTTTGGCTGGATACACTTGCTGACATGGCTAGGAGCCGATCTCAGCAGCGTTCCTGCTGTGTGTTTGTCCCTCCCCTCCAACCACGATCTCGTTCCGTATCGTAATATAATTGTACATCACAGTTTTTTGCTGCATAGTAGCCGGCTGGTAGCTTTCCGGAACGATGCCCATCTGTTATTGGTAGCTCAGCTGGCATGCAGCTGTTGTATCTATTTTCTTTTATGTATTGCGGCTTAGTGCCTGAGGTGTTTTACCCCTCTAGCTGACATGTATAATGATGACGATGACTGGTCAGCAAATGAGGTTGAACGCAACCAGAATACAAAGAGAATGAAATCAAGAAGTGCGTTAAACTAATCGGTATGGAATGAAAATCAACAACAGATGCAAGAAACCGAGTGCAGGAACGCCACTGACTGCGCGGCTGCGCCATATCTGATAGAATCTCAAACCACTGGTGTGGACCATGCTGAGGGTCTCATCCACCAAGGCAGTACGTACCAGCCTGACCAAATCTCGGTCAGTTTTTTCATGCCTCTATGCCACCTTATCGAATGGCTATCTCGCGGTTTTCCAGCTAGGTACCGTAGCGATCGTATAATACACGCCGAGGAAGCGGTCAACTGGCGTAAGGAGTGGATGATCTTACCACCGTTAGCGGTTGAGCGTAGGCAAATATTCGATTAAGGCACCAGAAGGCGTCTTACTAAAGACCAACTGGTGAACCTCAGCACTGCTCACCCGGTGTTCCCACGCGATGTGTGTAACACTTCGAAAGCATCGGTACTCAAACACGGCCAAGCGTTTAATGTCCTCATTGCGAACTGGCCAGCTCTCTGATGCATATAGTAAGACTGGGTTTATCGCAGCGTTCTACATACTACCTTTCACGGAAAGGCTGATATCCCGATTTCTCCATAGATGGTTGAGTCTGTGGAAAGCCACACGGGGCTCGCTGATACAGGAAGTAACTACCCCAGTGACGGGACCACCAGAGGTGACACAGCTACCAAAGTAAATGAACCGGTCCACCACTTCCAGTGGCTGTTCGCTGATGGTCAAAACCGGTGGCGTATCAATCCAGTTACGCAACAGCACTTTTAAGATGCAGCGCTACGCGTCATTCTGTCGCTTGCATGGCCACTGCATCACACTTAAGAACGGCTACGTCGTCCGCATGCTTTACCATTTATAGTTTGCATATGGGAACTACGGTTCGCTGCGTATAACATAGGCAACACTGATCAAGCAAAGTTGCTTTTAATCAGCAACTTACGGAGCTGCCGATGCCCATCTGATTGGCCGTTTCCATTCCTAACGCTCGACGAACCAAGCGATGCTTTGGGCGAACCTCCCGAGGTGATGATATGGCGGATGAGTGCGAACAAATCGCTGGAAATCTGAGCCGAGCTTGTGATTACCGTTTCCCGAACGAGAATCATGGGATCGGCCATGTTAGTGGCTGCATACTCCATCGGATATGTCACAATCGCTCTGGCGTTCGTTCCCTTATTTCTGACCCATAACCACTCCGTTTGCTTTTCTCGCCCATTCCTGTTGCATTGAAATAATAAAAAATAATAATGTGTCTGCTGTACGCCGCAATGACGCTTCGCTGTCGTGCGATCACCAGCAGTCGCACGCGGGCTGAGTATACCGCGAGGACACCCACTCCTACGTGGATTCGAACCTGCGCCACAAGATTACGAGACAAGCTCGTGACTTCTAAGCTACGGGTCGACTCCTCTTGCATCATTGTTGTTGTTATTATTACTATGATTATTATTATTATTTTGATAAAGTGTCAAGGCAACTAGATCCACCGCTTCTCGGCACATGAACCATAGTCAGTAACGGAACGAGAATGAACTGAGCACGGACTAGCCAGGTCCCTATCCACTGTAGGCAATACCCCAAGCACTCTATGGTTGTCCCCCACTGTTTGTAAACGGTTGAGTTGTTTCGGCTTAAATACTATTAATTCATTACCCTTTCTCGTGCGAATTCTGTCGTATAGTTGGGGAACGTAAAGCGAACCACTTAAGTCTTTGATTGGTCTCATTACAGCCATGTTTCATCTGCGATTCTATCGCTGCTTGTCTATTTGAACCTCCATTTTGTTTACACTTAACTCCTCTTCGTAATGCATTGTGCAACAGAAACTTTTGCCGCCTTCCATACCAACAGTTTTCTTTACAACTTGCCTTGATTTTGTGGCGACGCCT